TTGCAGAATTGGGGCCGTTGGTGTAAATAAGTCTGAGACCCAGTAAAAAATCACATTTTCAACCTAAATAGGTATATTCAAAATGTCTTAACAGACAGCATATGCTGTGCTGCCTCGGCATTTCAGCTCCTCTTTTGCATCACAGTTTTTCCTCCTGTTGCTCAGCTGTAGTTCAGGGGACTTTGCAGTCACCGGGCACGAGCCGGGTAACTTTACTTGGAGGGGAGCTGGTTATCCCCCATGGAGAACTGCTTGGCTTAGGGGCAACTTCTGCAGGAAGCCTATTCCAGCATCACAGCAAAAATTTTATGGAAGCTGCATTCAATTTTCTGATGCAAAGCCCACAGCTTTTGTGTGGGAGTAGAAAGGAATGGTTTTATTTAATGACCTGCTGAGTTTTCCATTTGTTTTATTGAACAAGAATTGGGGTGAGGGAGAAGCTCTGCTCAGCAAAAACCCCGTGCCTGCGCAGTACAGGCAGAAACTTGTGTCTGTCCTGACTTGAAATACTGTGAAATACTGCAAACTGTTGTGTCCGGAGGGCCAAACCACGTGGTGTCACCGGAGCACGAGGGTCCGCGTTTGCAGAGGCGTCGGCTAGGCTGTTCAGTGGGGTCGTGATGGTTAAGTCATGCTGTAGGGTTTGGTAGGGGGGAGCAGGGCTGGGGTCGTCACCCCGTTAGCCAACTCAACCGGAGGCACCGCGTGTCCTCACCGCAGCTCGCGGCAGGGGTATTTAGGCCAGCTCAGTGCTTAAGTCTGCCAGGGAGCCGTGTGGGTGGGAGGAGGAGGAGGTGCAACCCGCAGCCCCGACGGGTCGAACCGTACCCTTGCCGTTTCTGCTTACGAAGGGGAGGTTTTGCAGTTTGCATGAAAAAACATTGCTGGCAAAATGAACCACCTTTCTGAGCCTCCTCGTAGTGAGAAGGGTCCAGAAAGTCGGTGCGTGTCTGTAGGTATTTTCACAGATGCCTAGTCACCCCTCTTTTCTCATTTTTCAACTAAATAATTGTTCTACCACGCTACACTCAGGGATTCTGGTTTCAGGTACAAAAGTGGTAGACTTAAGCTGGTGAAATGGGTTTCAGTTTGGTTTTGGTGCCCATCAGGTCTTCATTTCATGTTGGTTATAACCAGATTTGATCCATTCCCCTTGAACTAAAAATACGGACGCCTTCGTCAGGCGAAGGGGTTTGCGCTAATCAAAACCATCGCTCAGCCAATGCGCCCACCATGTCGATGAGCTCTCGTGGGGAGGAGCGGGAGGGGCAGGGGCTGGCCAGGGTCGGGAGGACCTCGCTTTTCGCATTGCCTCGCTGAGACCCGCTGCTCAGGGGCTTGTCCTGGCAGGACCTTCTCATCTCAGCTGAGCCGATGGCTGCTCCCCGACGAGGAAAGGGCACTTCCCCGGAGCCGCGCTCCCTTTTCGGCACTGCAGCCTGGAGCTCATGAATTCTTGAAAGTCTGTTTCACAGGAATGAGCCTTGCTGAGCTGGTGAGTCTAAAATTGGCCTGGCCAGCTGTGTTGCGGCTGGCAGGGACATGTTAGACCGGCTCCTCTCTGCTTCCTTCGGTACGGGGCTGCAAGTTACAGCACCTCTTGTTCCACCTCAGTTTTTTCCCTCCTGCTGCTGCTGGTTTGACTGCCCCTCTCTCAGCACTTGCGTGGCTTTTACATGCAGCTGTTGCCACCTGTGGAGAATTTGGGCATCTAACGTGGAGCAGTGCTCAGTAAGCAGCTTGCAGGGTTGGGGAATACGATTTCTGCCCCACGGGATGGGGCGCAGCCGGGCAGAGCGCGGGGACCGTAGGGACAACCCCGTGCAGAGGAGTGATGTCTGGGTGTGATGTTCAGGAGTTCGTACGCTAGGGTTTGAGCCCCTTAAGATGAGCGCAGAGGGATGCGCTGGGGAGATCCCAATCTTCGGAGATCTGGGAGATCTCCAATTGGGAGATGCCAATCCTGCATGGGATTGGCAGGGTTTGTCTCCCTCGGGGCTCTCCTTCCCAGCCCGCCTGGTGCTTCTCCTGGAAAACCTGTGGGACACACATCCCAGCCTTTCCCTGCTCTCTGCGGAGCTGACTCTCCTCCTGCTATCCCCAGACAAAGGCTTTTCCATCTCATCACGGGTGGCCATGCAGCTGCCCACAGGGCAGGTCCAGGTCATCCCTCGCTGGCTGGCGGCGAGCTGTGGCACGCACAGAGCAAGCGCTTGCTGTGGCCAGCAGCAGCCCTTCGGGCCCCTCTCCCCTTGCTTCTCACGAGGCTGTTTCTGTCGCCGCGGCTCTTGTGGCACGGAGGGGAACGGCTGGTGCTTTTCAGCAGATTGTTGGAATAGCTCGCAGTTTGAAATACACGTAGGAAGCGTTATTGTTTCACTTGTGACCCGTTATTGTTACCACAACCCACCACTCTCTGTCTGGCCAGCTTCGAATGACGTTTCCTCCATCCATCAACAGCTGCTCTGCAGCCTGTGTCCCACCACCGTGTGCACCAGCATTACCTCATTTAGTTGCTCAGTGTTTTTTTTCGAGCTGATATTACTTTTTTTTTTTT